CATATCCAGTTCTAACTGTTGCTTCCTATCCCACATATAGATTTCTTAGGAGATAGATAAGGTGGTCAGGCACTCCCATTTCTTTAAGAACTTGCCATAGTTTGTTGTGGTCTACACAATCAAAGGCTTTTGCATAGTCAATGTTTACATTAATAGTAAACATACTTATTTGTAATTCATAGATAAAATATATCACAGAAGTGTGTATACCCCCTCACATTTCATAAATGTTAGTATATCTTTTCATGTGACAACACTGAAGAAATGGCACACTGCTACAATGTAAAGCATTGAGTATACAGCTTGTATAACATTGTAAATGTGCTGTCCCCTCAAAATAACGCAACACACAGCCATTAATGTCTAAACCGCTGGCAACAAAAGTGAGTACTTATGATTCTTGTTAACCGACCATAAGACTGCTTTTTTGTTTTATTTTGATCAGCATCTAGAAAATGAGTGACAGTGATGATGATGTCCCCCAACTTTCATCTGAAGCTTTAGCTGCTCTCCAGGAGTTCTATATTGAACAACAGCAAAAAGAAGAAATTAAAATAAAAGAAGAATCCAATAACTATTGTCTTGGCTCAATAGAGGAGAACTGGGTAAGCAGGTACTCATCACCTGAAATAAGTGGTAGTGACTTCCCTCTCTCCCTCTCTCCCCCTCTACTGTTGTGACATGCCCCGGCCACATTCCGGCCGCAAGTGCCGGCAGTGTAACTTGAAACTTTAAAAATAAAAAATTGCACTGGGCCGCATTACGAGCTGACCTGGGCCGCATGCGGCCCTCTGGCCGCAGGTTGGACAAGCCTGCTCTAGAATATTCCAAGGAGTCCTGCGCAGGCACAGTAAAACCCATTTGTGTGGATTCACAGGACCACTGAAAGAACTATGGTTACAGGTAAGTAACCTCTCTTTAATAAGGCTTGTGATTTTTTTACCCTAGCAACTGAGCCAGTTTTGGTATGATGATGAAACTGCACATTGGTTAGCTAATGAAGCAATAAGAGCAGCTGGAAGAGGTGGCAGGTATGTTGTACATGTACTACTTTTCATAATTGGCAAAGCTTGAAATGTTGCTTTTAAAAAGTAGTTTGTTATCTTAGACTTCAAAAGCCCCCTTCTAAAGAGGTTAGTTGCCTTTTAATTGTGATTTCTATAAGAAACTGTTTGCTGTTTCCTAAAATGTAAGCTTTGGTTACTTTAAGGATAAACTATCTGAACCCCACATAGCACTGGCCTCCTACACAAGAACAGTTTCCTTCTATTCACCTTGCTGTCACCATGACAGCACAGGAGAGCATGAAGAACAGCACAAGCTGGCATTTGAACCGTGTTTTAGCAATACCCTCATCTTTAAGGCTCCTTTTATTCTATTTTGCTTTATTTTTGTGTTTTTAATATGGTAAGGCATGCAAAAACTTTGAAAATTCATAGTTTCTATTTTGAATGATTTGGTGCTATGTTTTTTGTGGTGCATGACATCTGCCACAGTTTTAAGAGGCACATCTGATTAGCAAATTTTGCTATATTATAAGTGGAGGACAGGATTCTCAGCATGGTGAGCCTAGTATTTCTAAGAGCATGAAAATGTTAACATTTAATATGTCTAATGTAACTAAGACATGCTTAATTAGAATGTCATGGGGTACAAAAGTCAAGGCCAGAAAGCTGTGCATTGTTTAATTTGCCATATCCCTTGAGGCAAGATGGGCATTTATTCCACATTAGTACACTTCACTAATTAGTAGAATGTAAGAATGGTAAAGTTGGTAGAAGTTGATTGTAAATTCCTTGAACTACATCCTGAGAACAGTTACCTAGGAGTATGTCCCATTGTTCCTGGAGTTTTATTTCTGAGAAGCCTCGTGGCGCAGTGGTTAAACCGCTGTACTGCAGCCAAAACTGTGCTCACAACCTGGGGTTCAATCCCAGGTAGCCGGCTCAAGGTTGACTCAGCCGTCTATCCTTCCGAGGTTGGTAAAATGAGTACCCAGCTTGCTGGGGGGCCAATGTGTAGCCTTTATAATTAACTTGTAAACCACCCAGAGAGTGCTTGAAACGTTTTGGGGCGGTATATAAGCAGCACACTGCTTTTGCTTTTTGCATTGTATATAAAATAAGTCTGTTCAGTGACTTCAAGTCAGTGGTTCTATTCCTTTTTTTAAAAAATGCTTATTTGTAAATGGGAGACATTGTTCAGTGCTACAACAGATGCTTTGCATACATAAAGTCCCAGGTCCAATCTCTGGCGTCTCCAGGAAAACCTGGGAAAATTTGCCCGAGGAGAGCCACTGGCAGGCAATAGTGATATAGTGGGGTCTCGACTTACGAACGACCCTACTTGTGAACAATTCAACTTATGAACCCGCCCTATAGGGGAAATAAGGACTCAACATACGAACTTCCCTCGAGTTAAGTACAGGAAAAAAAGAGCCCCCTCCCTCCCCTTAGAGGCTTCTGGAGGGGAAAAAAGGGTCAGAAACTTAAAAATAAATAAAAGAAAGTCACTTTCCAGGCCTTGGTAGCCCCCAAACAGCAGGAAAAAGAGCAGGAAACAGCTAAAAGCCGACACCCAGAAGGGAGCCTGAAAGCCATTTTGTGATTTCCCCCCCCTCCTGCACCCTCTCCCCGCCTATCAGCTGATGGGCTGGCTCTGAAGAGGCTGGGGGGGGGCTTGCTCAGCACCTAAACAGCTTGCCTGTGTGTCTTTGTGCTGAAAAAATCAGCACTACATGCTTGAAAACATGATTTAAAATTGGCTTCGTTGAAAAAAAAAGATTTCTAAAGTGCTTTGCAAACTGTTCCCTGCCTTCCTCCTCGTTTCCTGAACCTAAGGGAAAAAAAGAAAAAATCCCCCTCTAGTGGCAGAAGGCGGAATAGCAGCTTCCCATTAGTTTCTATGGTCGGAAAAGAGCAGATACAGATTAAATGGTTTTCAATGCATTCCTATGGGAAATGCAGATTCGACCTAAGAACTTTTCAACCTAAGAACCACCTTCCAATATGGATTAAGTTCGTAAGTTGAGACCCCACTGTACTGGACTAGATGAACCACTAAGTTTACTTGGTATAATGGATTTCCCTCTGTTTCTGTATTCAGCTGCTGAGCAAAAACAGTTCTTAAAACATCAGGAATAAAAATTTAAGTGTTTAATTTTGATGCAAGTCCTGAATTAAATGTGTTATATTGTAGTATCTGAACCTGAACTGTAATTATTTCTTCATCTTTTCAGGATAGCATGTATTAGTGCACCCAGTGTTTATCAAAAATTGAAAGAACAGAATAGTAAAGATTTTTCAACATATCTCTTGGAATATGACAAAAGATTTTCTGTGTATGGTGCTGAATACGTTTTCTATGATTACAACAATCCTTTGGATCTTCCGGCCAATCTTGTGGCACACAGCTTTGACATCATCCTAGCAGATCCACCTTATCTTTCTGAAGAATGTCTTAGTAAAACAGCAGAAACTATAAAATATTTAACAAAAGGAAAAATCCTACTTTGTACAGGTACAGTATTCCATTCCTTGAATACTCTTGTTCCAATATTTGTTGAAATGGGGTAACAGCAACTTCTAATATATTATCATCAAGATTATTGTTGTTATAGAAAAGTTATTTCCAGTACGCATGCACATGGACAGTCAATTCATAAAAATATACTAAATTGGGAGGCCTGCATGCCACTTCTTCTGTAGTAGGTATGCAGAAATGACCAGTAGAGGATTCTTTTGTAACAGCAACTTCTTTCTGCGATCACCCTCCTCCTTTCAGTTTACCAAGGCAAAATTAGAAAAAGAGAAAAAAGATTCAGAGCTCAAAGAGAATTCACCATAGGCTGCTCATCATAGGCCTGGGTGTTGGTGCATCTGTGGTCCATTCTCCTCTACCATAAGCCCCTGTTCCCCAGAGGCATATCCCTGGTTTGAAGATTTGTTCACCAAATAATGAGTCCTACCTAAGGAATAATTTCTCCCTCCTCAGAGGGATGATCTTTCCTATGTGGCCATAAAGGACTCAAAACTGTTAAACTGGGGTGTCACTAGCATCCTGGCACATCTCCTCCCTACACATACCTTGATCATAAGAGAGTGAACTTCAGCCTTAAAGGCTGGATCCTTTTGCATCCAACCCATGACCACGGTTTCTGTCCAGATGCTTAACACTTCTGCCATAAAGATAGCTAAACAAGACACACTAGGTAAGTCCTTACCCTTGCAAGCCTTTAGCTTTTATAGCATGCTTTTGTTACTATTATTTGGTTTGTTTAGCTGAAAAACGTGGTTAATTACTAGATGAAGAAAGATTAGTTTCTTTATCCTCGTTACCCAGTTGCTAAAAACTTGCATGGGGATTAACTTTTATCTGATACCGTGTTCATAATTTGAGATACTATGATGCCTGGCCTTCCTCACACTCTTCAATTGGGCTGCCACACAAGAATGTCATATTTTTGTGGCATTGGAAATGGGTTCTTGGCCGATGGCCTACATGGACCCTTGGCCTAATCCAGCAGCATTCATATGGGATTTTATTTATTTATTTTTGTTGTTGTCATTAAGACTGTTTTCTCTGCTTCAGGATCAATTATGGAAGAATATGCTGCGAAGTATCTTGGAGTGAAAATGTGTACATTTATTCCGAAACATACTCGAAACTTAGCTAATGAATTTCGATGTTATGTGAATCATGATTCTGGACTAGATTCTGATTCTGTCTCTTGATAAATATAAAAAAAATTTGGCAAACTGTTTTAGTCTGGAGCATTGTTCCTTTTGTGGTGATGAGAACATGTTTTTTAATAATACACTTTTTTGTTTTGTGTAAATAGAATATGACCACTTCTGTTACTTTTAACAGGACGTTTGAGCCATGATAAAAGAGTTGTGATACCACACATAATATAATATGCAGAGTTGCGAGGCCTGCATTAGAAGAGAGGTAGAAAAAGTAAATGGCTTGGTACACCAGACAGAAGTAAGATAAGTTCAGGTACCATCTCAATTTGGGGAGTGAGGGAAACAGTTGCTCCCCCCCCAAAAAAAGCAATTTTTTAAAAAAGGATCTAAGATGGATGGAGGCAGGCAGACAGAGGATACCAGGAGCTCAAAGCACACTAATCCTACCCAAAAGGAATTACTGTAGCAAAGGCCATTCTATAGATTCTAAATTTCCACCCACCTTGTACATTTTGATTGGCTGCTAATGGCTGTCATGCCAACATTATTGGATGAAAACCTTTTACATACCATTTGTGTGTCCCTTTCTTTCATAAAAATCATTCATCTTTAAAAAGCTCCCTTTCAGCATTCAGTGAAAGAACACAGAAAACATGAAAGGGCCGTGGGGGCTTTCCTTTCCACAAAGACATTTTATATCCTGCAACCAAACTGACAAATCTGTTCCTTCTCTTGTTCTATTTATATGTTCTGTCATAAAAACCAAGGTTGAAAACAAATATATTATTTCAGCTACTTTTGTGAGTAAAAATTGGTTTGAACTCAGGATGAGTTCCAACACTCTCTCTTATGCCATATTAACATATTTCATATGCTCTTCCTTTGGAAGTTTGTTAGCTTGGTACTAATCAGTATTCAATTTTCAAGCCTCCCTCCCCCACTCTGTGTGACGCTGGTACTTAACTATCATTTTTGTGGATTAATTACACATAGCAGGGCTTTGTCCCTCAGTTATTTTCTTGATGCCTACAAGAAAATAGGCATCAAATTAACATTGCCAATACTCTACATGCATTAAATTTGAAAATATTGTTTGAATTATCAGAGTGGTTGGATAGACCAGATGGGCGGGATACAAAACAAACAAACAAACAAACAAACAAACAAATAAATTATGTTTTATCCCCTAAATAAAAACTTCCTTAATTTTAATGCACGTAGAAATATACTAGTGCTTACATGTTTGCATACTTAATGCAATTTCCTGTTTCCTTTTTGTAACAAAATGTAAATTTGGTCTATAGTAAAATATTGCTATTCTTAGAGGGGGGAAAAACATGTTCTTGTTAAAGTTTTGCACAGAAATTGGAGACTACACAGAGTTCCTATGCTACGAATGATATGTCAAGTTTTTTTTTTAAACAATCATATTTTTAGGCCATTACACAATCATAATTTTCCAGATGTATTGTAAGCCTGACTTACTTGTGTAGTTGGGTAGCAAAATACATATTTCCTAATTAAAAAGAGTATGGCCCATATCAGATACTCAGCATATGTTTCACAGCATACTACCCTACCAAGTACAAGCTAGGTACATTTTTCTCTGGACAGGGCGCCAGCTAATAAATACACTGGTTGCACAATGCCCATTAATCTCAAGGGAGCTGTCTTTTTTTAATGAGTGTTTTTAAAATGGAAATGGAAATTGTTTTCATAGTACTAAATCAGTATTAAGTTGCTTTTACTAAGTCCAATTAATATTTCCTCGGCAATTCTCACAAGTTTTTTCATAGTGGGTGACCATAAATTATTATTCCCTATCTCAATATTATATGTAACCCCAATTGTCACTGTTTCCTCACCATGTTTTTTTTTAAATTTCAACCAATATCATATGGGAGGCTGCATCTCCAGTCCTGCTCCAGGAGTTGCCAAAGCCTCTGAAATATTCAGCTAGTGTGTAGGGAGCTGCAAGAGGCTGGAGAAACCTATTTGGCAGAGATATATTACTGGATTTTTCCTTCTCCTGTGGTTGTTAGAACAAATTAACATTGCCATTCCTCTGTTTGCCATTGAAATGTAGCATTTTCAATGGCAAGATAAGTACATTTTCACAGTAAACTTGAAATCATATCAAGATTAACTTGTTATGTTCTTTCAATGTGCCATAGTAAAAACATGGCTTCTGTTGACACTGGCTGAAATCTTGTTGCACAAATTACACAGGAAGTGCTGTTTTTTTATTGGCTGTTAATGACAGAAGATGCCCCTTTACTCACTTTTCATAATTTTAAATATTGTTTTTTAATGATGTTAACCACCATTGTGTACTCATCGTTTTCGAATTTAAATAGTGTCTTTCATTGTTGTAAGCCACCTTGAGTCCTTTTCAAGAAGAAAGGCAGGGTAAAATATTTTAAATAAATAAATAAATTTTATTTATTCATTCATTTGTTTGTTCATTTATGGAAATGTCAAGAAATCCTATCTGTTGCATATACTCATGTGACTTGGCATGTAACAGGTAACAGATAATGTTTAATTAGATTTTTTTGACTTACAGCAATTTGCCTTAGAAAATTACACCATTTGTATAACTGCAGCAAGATTTCAGCCAGAGTTTTCATGCTGTGGGTCCGTGTAGAATTATTAATGTCATACGACCGGTGGTTAATATAATGAAAGTCTAATATCCCAAGCAAATTTCTAGCATAAATGATGCCAAGATATGAGTTTACCTCATCCTAAATAGTCTGGTCCAGTGCATTCATTCATGTGACCAAGTCAAGGGATCACTATACTTATTACACAGGCTTGTAGTAATTTATCGTATTAGTTACCTAGCAATACAATCCAGATAAGCTGAAAGACAGCAAGAGTCAACAGATAAAACAGGAAAGAGTAAACAATGCTGTTGTAGCTGGAAGAAAGGAACATCAAACTTTAGAACCTGATGCGTTAAAAATGAAGGGATATGTCCTGTTGATAGTTGAGGCTTGCTTCTCCAAATTGCCTACCCGTGCTTTAGGCAATCAGCTGCTCTCCAGACATTTAAAACAACAGCTCATATCAGCTGTAGTCAGTTAAGTGTGATGTGTGTGCTGTCAGGTCAGAACTGACTTAAAGCCATCGTAATAGGGCTTTCAAGGTAAGTGAGATATTTAGGAAGATATTTTCCAACTCCACTCCTAGGAAATTTCCATGGCCAAGCAGGGACTCATATCCAGGACTCCCAAGTCCTCATCCATCACTGTAGTTACTACAGGACACTAGACAGTTACTTAGCCTCAGTGGTATGGCCAACAATGAGTGACTATGGGGGTTGTACTCAAAAATATCTGCATGGTCCTTGTCTAAAACCTGGCTTCCTCATTAGAAGACATATTTGCGGGGGGGGGCAGTTTGGTAATTGTTATTACTGTTGACTCTACATTGTGTTACAGAAGCTTAACAGTTGCTAGAGCACTGGCTTGATTTTATTTTAGATAATGAAATGGGCTTCAATGACCATTATCTAACCAAGAGTTAGACTCTTGGCACTGCAGATCTCAAAACATGAAAAGTTGTATCCTGAGGCTAGGAACCAAGGAGGCGGCACCTTGGTTCAAGGTAAGGTTCATCGTTGCTGTAATTATAGATTTAGGTATGTCTCCCCTCCCAGTCCAGCAAATGATCCATTCAGATATTGGAAGGGAAGCCACAGCCAGATGCATTTTTGGGCAAGATTTCTTTTGTACCTCTGTTAAAACTACAGAAGTGTGTCCTGAGGAAGTTATTTTTGAAAAGAAGTTCAGGGAGAGGCTGCAGTGGGAACTGCTTAATTATAGTATATTAACGTGTTTGATTGTATCACCTGTGGTTTGAATCAGGGTAAAGTTTTTATAATGCACATGTTAATTAGTTTAGCCGTGCCAGTGTCACTATACTTTCTCTATGTCATAACCCTCTGAATGTATTGCTTACAATGCTCACCCAACAATGTTGATGCAATGCATGTACCTTCAGAATAACATTACACGTGTTTAATGAAGTAATCTCTAATCCACAAAACAACCTGGCAATAAAGTTGTTAAGGTAATGCAATACCCCCTCTTGTTTTACTCTCAAACCATTTTATTTGTTCCAGATGAACACACGTTATTTTGGACAAAAAAATTATGTCCCAGGTTCAGTCCAAGCACTAATTCCTTTCCAGACTGCTGTTGTGGTTGGACTAAAAGCATAATTTCAATTGAGCCTTCTTGCTTCAGCTCCTGTTTTCTTGTAGCAAAAAAATAAAGGGAAGACATGATGCTTATCCTTGTTTGTAATAAATGGATCAGAACAAAATAATTGCTTCTCTGTTTTTGTCTTTTTGGCAGGGGGAATAAAAAAGGTTGATTACTGTATTAGCACCACTCCTGCTCTGGCTGTTTACATTATTAAATAAACTAAGTTTCTTTACCATTATTTAGAAGTCACTCGCCTTTCCCCAATGTGTCTGAAAGAGCCTTCTGTTATCTATCGAAATAAATTTGACTCTCCCTGTGAATCTTTGACCTTCCTGCACAGGGTGCTCATAGTTAAAAACAGTTGGGAGGAGGGAGTATTTCTGAAGCTGAATGGCCCAGATCTTCAGACACTCATGCATTTGCATTGCAGCATTTCTTAGACACTTATCAACTGCTTGGCAACTCTTAAGGATATATTTATTTTACAGGTGACAGCCATCTGTACTGTAGCTTGTCCACCAAAGGTTTTCAAAATTCGTTTTAGTACAAACGAAATTCTGAAACAAAAGAGCAAAAAGAACATTTGGTACATATGCCTTGGCAGAAATCCTTCCATATTTGAGTCTGGTTTGTGTTTATTTATTCAGAACTCCAGACTCAAGCCAGATAGTGCATATTCTTTGAAATAAAGCCCTTATTAAAATTGTGAAATACTTTGCTTGTAGAATAGAACAGGTTTCTGTAGAATAATAGACCAGTTCCCTGTGCAAAGTCTGGTTCAAAGTCTTCATTCCTGCATAGTTTTGGTCTTCTTGAGATGTGTGATCATATGGACAAATTCATAATATGAACCAAGTGGTAACAAATATGGCGAAACAATAAATCCCCCAATATCAGTGGTACGTTTTTCCAAATGGAGAGTGGCATGGAAGGAAGCAGGATATGGCATGGATGCAGGAGCAGTAGATAATAAGACATCTAACAACAGTAATGTGAAAAAAGGGAAAGATTTGAGCAGGAGGTTGTATGCCTACCCTGATCCCTAGAGTCGGACCCACGTTTCTGCCTTTTCTCCAATAACATTGGTTTTCCTGAGAGGCCAGAAACTCATTGAAAACATAGTAGGGGCTTTTCAGAAAGAAACAAGAAAAGAAAGAAAAGATGGCAAAGATTCTGAAACAACACTTTCCATTTACTACCTCGTTCCTTAAAATATGCAGCCACAGGCAAGTCTGGGGACAGTGGTGGTGGCACAGGATGTGCTTGAGTTCGCATAGAGCCATTATGACACCCAGAATTCTTTGATAATGCAAAAAGGTTCTCTGACAGCAGGCAAACTGAAACCTACCTCTTTAAGTTCAGATATGTTTACATATGCACAGCTAACACAAGGATGTGCAGAATTTATTCGACCTATTAAGAATTGGCTTATCCCAACCAAAACTAATCTTTCGGGTGAGCTGGAATACTACTCTTACCACCCTCAGCCTCTAATCAACACGCAGGTTGGAGAAGAGCTACCTGCTTGAACATTAGGTTATAATACATTGATGCTCCATGGCTGATTGATAAGACTCCTGATTAACTAATCACTATAGGCAACTGAATGTTTGATGCTGGATATCATGGTGAGAGATATCTGACCATCATGTATAATTAATTTCCAGCAACAGATGTGTGAAAAATGCTTAAGTTTCAATGCACTGGGGAATGAGTCCACATTGTACACTTCCAGCGTATTCTGGGGGTAAACCTCAGTAAAGGAAAACATTTTTCCTTGCACAAAAGAAATGTTTTTAAAACGTACAGATGCCTGAGATTGCTTTGAATTGCCATTGCAAATTCAGCCTGGATTCGGTTCAACCAGACATTTCTTCCCAGCAACGTGTCAGCCATCTGAGAACCTTTAACTGTTGCAAATGTTTCCCTCATTTTCTATAATACACAGCATGCAGAGATGTGCCAAAGGTCCATGTACTTGAGGGCTGGCAAATAAACTGGAGATAATGTTTATCTGGAAGAGCTGCATGATCATCTACCAGTGATGGGCAGAAAGGGACAGGGGATGGTAAAAGTTTCAACCTCTGGTGCTGTGTCATCAGGACACCCACGGATGCAAAACGAGGACAGGGCTCAAGGAGGACTGTTTCTGAAATTCACATCTAAATTGCTTCCTGGATTTTGAAATTCAGTATTTATTTTCAAATTTTATACATGAGAACTTAGGGAACAGCCTTAGACAGTACTAGGGCAGCCTGTTGGTCCATTCAACACAGCCTTTTCTTTACTAATTGCTACCAATTCTCTTGAGTTTTTGGCAGACAGAGCAGTTCTTGAACTCGTGGCATCACGTCCTTTTGAGCTGAAATTCTACAGAATTAGGCCTGAGACCAACTCCACACAATGCATATACTTTATGAGTAGAGAGCGAGAGCGCACACACCTTTATAATAAAGAATGGGAGGAGTCCACCCAGCCGTGGATTGAAGGCTGGGCCTTGGCATGTGCAATTATAATGCAGAGCTAAGAACTATGGAATTCAAGAGTTTGAGGTCATCTAGTCCAGTCTTCTATCCATGTCACGACCTGCAATTCAGGAGGCAACCACGAAACTGAAAAGTAGCCACCCAGTTCCTGCTTAATTACATCTAGTGAAAGTAAGCTAACCACTTTCTCACACTTGACTTCCATTTTCAGAAAGCTTTTAGTCAGGATTATTTCTGGAGCTTTTTTCCTACATCCCCAAGCCACATAATGCCTATACCAAGAAGGAGCCTTGGAGAACTAAAAAAAATGTACCCTTTAAATAATAGTTTTAGTAGTTAAGTGGAGATATTACCTGATCCTGATTGTAGATTTTGTGATTTGGACTACGTGGCTGTATTTTGTTTCTGGAAATTCCAATAGTTGTTCAGGGCAGAATTTAACAGTGGAGGAAGGAGATTTATCATGACTTCAGGAACCACCTCACATAGAAGACTTTGTTACCACTGATCCCTGAGAAATACTCATAATTTAAAGGTAACTAACTGCATTTTGCCACCAAATTTAATTTCTACCTTTTCTGATATGGATTAATATTTCTGCTCTCACCAGCAGAAGAGCCATGTGCTTTGACTAATGGCAACAGATAGTTCTCTGACTGACCAGCAGCTCTTTGTCTATAGCAAGGATGGATGATTAGTTGCATACCAGATATTGTCGTGCTACAATTCCTGTCATACATAGCTAAACTGGCCACCTCTGATTTACAATGGTGTGTGTGGGGGGAGACTACAGTATCAATTTTATCCGCTGAAGTGAATCCTTAGACCACCATAGCTCAAGCTGGTTCTTTAAAACATTGCAACCTCTATTTTTGAACATTAGTTTGTGGATCCTGTCCTTTCATATCCAGGCAGAATAATTTAGAAGTTTTCTGCTTCTTCCTCTAGCCCAAGTTACATACTGTAATGCTCAGCTATATGAAGAGAACAAGAGGACTAGAAAGCTTATGTTTTCATGATACTTTACTGGTCCAATAGTTATATTATCCAAACCCCATTCCAGGATTTTTCTCATGACTATACTTCTTTTTTGTTTCTTCCTTGAGAGGTTTCTCCTCACATTCATCCCAAATCTGTCTCTCTATAAATCCATTCTCTGTAGTTTTCTTCCATTATTTGGGGCAATAGAAAACATGATAGCTGCATCCATTTCATCAGTGATTCTTGACCTTTGGCTTCCTAAATGTTTTAAGAGGCTAATACAGATACTGGGAATGGAGGACTAGGGGTTGAGAAAACATGTGAGCTCTTGAAAACAACTATCATTTTTCTCCAATACTGTAGATTTTTCTCCAGGCTAGATCTTCCAACCGTTCCATGTGGTTTTTGGTTTATAGATCATTTATCATCCTGGTCGCCCACTTCTGGACATGATCCAATGCTCTTGTATTCATTGTGCTTCTGAAAGTGTGACAAAGCTGCATTCTTGAATTTTGCCTCATCCTCTTCGTAGTATTTCATCACTCTTTGCAAAGGCCAACTGTGTATGGGCCACAGATCTTTTGTACAGTCTGCATTCCACAGCCATCCTGTCCAAGGTGGTGATCTTTTGACCTGTAACTAGGCTGAAAAAAACAAACTAATTTACAATTATTTGGAACTCAAGACTTCTTGTTCCTTTCAGATTAATCATTAGAAAGCCAGTGCTATGCATTCTGGGAAAGCTCTGAGTACCGAGTGCTGGCTGGATGGTTGATGTAACAAGATAAGCCAAGTCAATTAATATTCCTTTAAGAAGATCCTTGCAGTATAGACAGTTGGGCAGAAAGGGGTCCAGATGAATTAAGCAGACATGGCACCGATTTCTGCCTGTCGGCATTCAAAGAGGCACTTGGCAGAGGCCTCTGGCATAAACAGCCAGCCGAACCTTTCTTATGAGAGCTTTTGGCCCTTCAGTTCCTCTAATTTGGCAGCAGCTTTGCTCTCACCAATGAATGCCAAGACATATTCAATCCCTGTTGTTCAAACTGACCAAAGAGTTGAGTTTAATTTCATCATATCTCTGTTCATCCTTGTCTTTCCCAAAAAGCTCCTGCAGCCAGAAAAATCTAAAACTGATAACAAGGTTTGTAAGCCAAAAACTAGAGGGTTTAAGAAGGGGACTGGAACTTTTCCACACTTTGGAAAGCAGTCATAAACCAGGCTTTCTTTCAAGGAATGTGTTTCGCTTTCCACAATGGTATGTGAACAAATGTATCTCATAAAAGTGTTGGTGCACAGTCCCTGAATAAACGAGATTCGTTCTGCTTTGTATCTGCAACTTGGGAGGACTACAAAAATTAGGATATTTTGCTTCTACTCACCGGTATCTGAGGTATATAGATCTGACATCTTAAAGGGCTTTTTTATTTCCGTTTAGCGATGTTTCGCTATAGCGAAGGTTAATCCGGAACGGATTAACCTCGCTATGCGAGGCACCACTGTATTTTGCTTCTACTCACCAGTATCTGAGGTATATAGATCTGACATTTTAAAACCCTATCTTTTAAAATACAGTAGTAGTTTGCTCCTAATTGAAACTGGTGGGAAAGTACATTACTTTTGTACAGTTTAAAAAGCTCTTCCAGTAAATTATTGCCATTCTTCCTAACTTCTTTTGTCTATATAGAATGGTATTTCCTTGCACTACAGTTCAAAGGAGCATGGCAATGTTGCATTTGAAGTGGTATTTTATGCTTTTTAGCCAAGAATGAAGTAATAAAGAGTCAAAAAGCTGAGCCCAATTCAAAGGGGTTTCACAGGATGAAAAAGTGTCCCCTTGATTTTCCAGCACTCCTTGGAAAAATATTTGCTGTTTATTTTCACTGCCTTTGTTTTCCCTCACTCCGCAGGGTTCTCACTTCCTGCCAGTAACAGTGTGATGTAGCTAAGTTGGTAAGAATGTGAACGTCAATCTGTGCATAAGATGTGTGGCTGCTGTACATACCCTGGTATTATCAAAATAAAACACTGCACAGGGCAATGGGGTCTCACTCTTCTTCACACTTGACATGAGGTTCACAGATGCAAATACCAGAAGGAAGTGGGAAGCGCATTTGCTGTCCAACTTACAAATTGGCCGTGAATTCCAATAGCTCAGTGGTTCCCAACCTTGAGTCCCCAGATGTTCTTGGACTAAAGCTCCCGGAAGCCTTTACTACTAGCTGTGTTAGCCAGGATTTCTAGAAGCTGTAGTCCAATAACATCTGGGGACTCAAGGTTGAGAGCCACTGCATTAGATGGTCCCTTATACAAAGCTACAATCTCAAAGTTGCTTCATGTCCTGGATCCAGATTTTGATGCAGGCAATGGGCTAAGGAAAGCAGATTTCTTTGCCCCTTGTAGCCCTCAGAAAATTCTACACAGAGGAGCAAGGGAGCCTGGTGGTTGAGGTGAGCTGAAAGGCAGTGAGAGATGTGTCCAAGGAAACTGGATGGAAGTACCTTGCAGCACAGGCATTATTCCAGGCCCTACATCCAACTTTTTAGAGAGAAAGTTCATGGAAATGTGTAGGATTTTCACATTAATTTGTGTTAATTACTTTAAAATGTGTTGTATTTCTATTGATTTCAGTGGACTGAAAGCTTCACTTACATTTGCCGAATTGCACTTCTGCATAAGTAATATGACAGCTTGTAGTCCTGTCCAATGTCGCTCAGTATATAATAAGGTGCATCTTATAACCCTGCTGATCTTTCTTTATATTTAACAAATAAACAAGCCAATATTCTGCTGCCCCTTCAGTAAAGGTAGAATCCTATAAACATCCCTCCTGCTCCAGTGGGCTTCCTATTGCATAACCTGTTGCTTAACCAATCTTGCAACCAGTGTGGGAATATGCATACCCTGTAGAGCCTGTTACAGCCAGGAGGATATTTACATAATTACCTTCTGCTGCACATTTAGGCAATAGACTAGTGGTCTCAGTATTTTTCCTTTATTTAAAAAAATCTGAAACTGGATGGATTTCATGGGTAGGATATGTGCATTTTTATTTTCAGATAATCTTGTTCATATCCAAAGACCTTAAAAGATGAGAAGTGCATACTTTAATGATACAGATCTTCCCATAACCCCTGTAGTAGCAGTTTATGGCAGATATAAGGAGCAGGTGGTCCTCAAGATGCCAATGGACTACAGCACCCATCAGCTGTGTGCAGCATAGCCTATGGTACACGTTGCTGGGAGTTACTATTCAAAAATATAGAGAGAGCCACAGCTATCCATCCCTAATGCATGATATTCTTCTGGATCCTTCCCAAATCTTTGGCACTCTCCAACAGAAGACCTTATAAACTTCTCTAGTCTTTGGAGCAAGGGAACAGTATGCACCTATAGGTTTCTGAGAGTTTTAGTCCAAGAACATCTGGGGACCCAAGGTTGGGAACCACTATAGTGCTTCTAGTGCCCCAGATCAACATAATCGACCCTCTTCAAGTTCTCTGTTGTCTAGTGCTTGGAACAATAACAGTTTTAGTCAAAATAATACTCCAAAAAATTATTTCCCAGAGCTCTGGAGAAGCCTTAGTAATTATTACAAATAACAGCTTTGCTTAAGAGCCAAGCCAGGAATATCTTGAGCCGTGAGCTGCTCAACTGATATCAGAAGGTCAAAAACACGTGTTTCCTAGGCCAGTTTGTGAATCTCATCCTGCTCAGCGATGAACTTTCTGTCCTATAAGACGCCTCCACTGTCATGGCCCCCAGGTGACTGAACTCTGCTCTCTCTCCATGAACCTTCTGGCTTCAGCATTTATCTCTGTATTTTCAAAATGTACTTGTGTTGGCTGGTTCACACATGCACAAGCATCACTTGCTCATAACTGGATGACACAACTGAGTACAGCATTTGAATGCACTGAAAGAAGTGGTGTCTGGGGTATGATTATCTTTCTGTATGGCAATTTTTTCCATGATGGTGCTTTTGCACACATACTAGTTCCTGCTGTAGCACCATGCTACATATACATGTGTGAATGAGCCAGGAAATTGTGGAATTAAAGCACCAAGGAAACCAATGGAACCAATCCTACCATTAGGCATAATGGTCAATTGGCTCAGGCAGCAGATACTGACAGAACAAGACAGGATAATGAGTTAGTGTTGGACAAACCTGCATATGTCACATCTGTGTTCCACTAAATAGTTTGTTGCCTTTACATGTGTGAAAAGCCATTCTCCTTACACCAGTGCTGAAATAAAATTCAACTCCCAATCCTCTTGGCTTCTATAGGTGCAATGGTGTGAGAAGACACCACCTTGTCCTTTGCTCCAGGCAACAAAATGTCCAGGGCTAGGTCTGGCCACTGTCATTTTTATTACCTTTGTCTTTATCACTCTGATGCTGGCTTGTCATGATGATGATTGGCCAGCAGTTTTCCTACTTGCTTGCCGATGCTGGAATTGACTCCCTCAGCTTCTTTGTCATGTTCTGGCACACAAGTGCAGCCCACAGGGACAGTGACATAATCCTCAGTGTAAACATAGCGGCCTCCTGTGCAGGATGTGGTTCGGCGCAAGATGACAGTCGGCATAAACACCGGAGTGCTCCGAAAGTGGAAACTCTCTTCACCGTAAGCACCAGTGAGGCATCCTTTGCAGAGGCAGTAGGCTTCAGGGATGTACTTTGGATATCTTGTAGGGTCATACGAGATTCTGTGCCAAAGGGGGTGAAAAAAGACTCAGAGTTGGTGCCTTTTCTCACATAATTCGTCCCCCTTCCTCTCCTCAGCTCCTAGCTCCTAGCTCTTTATTTAATACCAGCTGGAAAAGATTATAGCAGAATGTTGACAGGACACCTCTCTAAATGTATTTTGCATCTAAATCAATTATAAGTTCTGTTTTCCTTGTTCTTAAAGATGGCAGAACGGATGTTTGTCAAATGCCACAAGAGCCCGCCTCAGGGTCAGCCCAAGATATTTTGCTGCTTGGAGCAACCACTGAGATTATGCTCCCCCCCCCCGCACCCACTTAAAAATTTATAAATCATAAGCAGACTAAACCTTACTCCAACAATGACTGTCTCTACCCAGAGTCCAGAAAAGTTATTTCTCAAGGGTCTTTTTTTCTAGTGCCAGTTAGTATTCTCTGAAAGTGAAAGGTAGGTGGGCAGGGATTCCTCCTGGCACTCAAAGTTTGGAAGTTCATACTGCAGTTGGTCAAAGGCACCACTTCTTGTTTCTGTGTCTACATTATCGTTCATTATTTTTAAAATTATGTTTTGCTACTTAATTAATTCTTCTCATGGCATTTTGTTGCACAGTATGTACATATGCATGCCTTGAAAACATTTGAATCAAATCAAATATTGTTACTTTTTAAAAACACATCTTTTTATAAATACATCCAAATCCTTCCAAACAGCATAGCTGTTGTTTTCCCAGCTCTGCCTCTGCCACATCAATCCTTACAAAGGTCCCTATATTTCATTCTAGGAAGGCATTTTCCCTAGGACAGTTCTACCATATTAGCAAACTTTACCTCCTCACATTTAACCCAAATGTTAAAGCCAGCAGTGGAAAATTTTCCATAAGGACAGGATTTAAAATACTAACCTACAAGTCTGGCCTCCAGAAAATGGGAGACACAATAAAACAAATGGATCTGATCTCAGTCTTGGATCAAGTCCACCTAACCCAGAACAAATATTGGATGAGCAAGATTTACTGTCTCTTCTGTCTCAGCTTAAGGAACAGGACAAGACATAAGAGGGTGTTGCCTTCTTTTGCAGTACTGTATGCCACTTGGCTGTCTTTCCTCAACTCTTTGGAGCCATCTGTTCTGCTGGAACACACCTGCTCCCTGCTTGATGCTTAAAGTTGTTGGCAGACAAACTAGACCACCTTGGTCTATTCCTGTGTGGAGGAACTATCAAACTGAGAGCATATACCTCTGCTCATCTGTTTATGGTAACAGTTGGGGAATGCACACCTTGAATTAGGCAACCACATCTTTAGGTGTTTGCTATTCTGATCCCCAGATTTCTGGTACAGGTTTTGCAAATCTGGTGCCACTGTGACTAAGCAGAAGCTCTGCTCCGGGGAGACCTCCAATTTAAAATGTTCTAAGAAATTACAAGAAGAGAAAGGGTTGTTTTTCCAAAGGTCCTACTCATTCCTTACACCTCAACATTAGGACTCAGGGACACATTCAGTGCTTTGCTAACAGGCAGCATTTTGCTATCAAGATTTATGCTATTTCCCTTATGCACGTGTAAATCCACAGTAAGATTCTGACCATGAAGCATAATTCCAAGCCATATGTCTAGATACACACTGTGGGGAGAAGGTTGGCGTAGAGCTTTGGCATTCCATGGATGGTTGCACTTTAAAATTACCTCTGGCCTCAGATGGAACATAAAGATGGATCCAAATTTTTCCATATGTGAGGAAGATAGACTCTCTATTGAGAAAGCTTTCCCAGATGGCACAATCAATCCTCTCATTGTCTTTGTGCAGAAGTACTACCCCACTTTAAAAACAAATACTACATGGCCATGGGTTATTAGGTCACATTGTCAATTCTTGTTATAACAAAGAATTTCTATTGTGCTATACATAATCTGTTACTTTTCCCCACTGCCTAAGTTTAAGATAAACCATCAAGGTTTATCTGAGGACGGAATATCAATCAAGGGTTCTTAAGTCGTTCCCAAGTGTGAAATCCTACATTGATTCAGTTTGCCACTTGTATCAGGCATCTTACTATTACCTTGTAGACTGATAATTGACATTATTCATAGTATGATAGCCTGTTCTGTTACTAATGAACGATTATCACTTTGTCCATGAGGCTGTATCCCCAGCTGATTATGGGACATGTATAAATATGATGGTCATAGAGTCCCAATCTTATGCTGAGTAAGTGGCTTGATCCACACAAAAAATCACACATTAAAATATAACAACTTTTTGAGCCATCACAATATTTATGTCTCTTTTGTTTGTTTTGTGTAATATGCTTGCACAGACTAACTTAGCTACTTCTTCAGAAGCTATCCTAGAAGAATGATATAAAAAATTAAAGACCATCCCATCCACTGACTCATAATCTGATACAAACTGAGAAACAATAACTGGTCAAACAAAAATGAAGTACTGAAAATGAGGACCCATTATCCACATGCAGGGTCAAACAATGTTGGAAGGGAATAAGAGCTAGTACCACAGCTAGCGTGGCCTATGAGAGCAGCCAATGACATGAAGCTGATCTGCAGTTCATAACTATACTCACTCTAGTGCATGTATACCTAAAAGCACTTTTTGGCTTTCATTACTGGCACGTAAATTTGCGTTGCAGGCAAATTTGTTTTGGAGCTTAAGCAAGTCTAGTGTTATGACTGGGAAATAAACATATAATTTATCCAACATACAAATTCATCCCTAGACAAAATATGGGCAATAAGTAAACACAAAGCCAAGTTTTAGGCCTTTGGGGGAATTTATTGTAGTCTGTAACTGGAAGACAACAGTTTCAATAGAACATTTAATTTCTCAAACAGATTGGAACATCCATTCCTAAACAGTTTTTTTTTTTTATTTGATGGGCCTCGTTCATATAAATCTGCATTCCTAAGCATGCTTACTGTTTTGCTCCAATCCAGCCTATGTTAGCTATGAACTATGAACCAAAAGATATACTGATGGTTGCAATATGTTACAACATGACTTCTCATCAACTCAATATGTATAGAAATAGTATCTAGGATTCTAGGTAAGAAAGTGCCTTGGCCCAGAGAAAATGTTTGGATTAGGGTTAGATTCCTTTGAAAAAAAGGTCTGAGTCAACCAAAATCTTATTGAGTGTTTTATATTATTCCCAGTGAGGTCAATGGGGCTTTACTGTATTTTGGCAAGATCATGCCCCAAAGTCAGATACATAGATATCCTGTTGTAATAATTACATGCAGTTAAGTTATGTATACTTGATGCCATACCTTATTAGAGCCAGGAATTAATTTTGGGAGCAGCAGGATTTGCAGCTGAATGAGGTTTCCTCCAGTCCTGTCTGGGCAATCTGATCACTGAGCCACAGTGGCTTAAAAGCACAACAGCTAAAGGGGCAGGTGGGGATGCTGAATATCAGGAAAAATCTCTTAATGGTTAGAGCAGTATGACAATGAAACCAATTACCTCAGGAAGTGGTGAGCACTCCAACACTGGAGCCGTTCTAAAGAAAATTATACAACTATCTGTCAGATCTTCTTTGACTTGGATTCCTGCATTGAGCAGGGAGGTTAGACTCAATGGCCTTTTAGACCACTTCCAACTCAATTATTTCATGATTTTTATGAGTAGGGTTCATTTCGTGCTCACTGAAGCTTGAATAATGTTTGGAAGTTGCAGGCATCTGTGTTACCTGTCTGCAACAAATTATTTTGGGGGATAATGCAGAAATAACAATGTTTTTTTTTGCAAAAAGGTAATGACTAGTATTATAGCTGCTTTTGTCCATCCAACAAGTATCACTTATCCTTTGCCTTTCTCCTGACTTGCAGTGGAGGGGTAGGTAAAATACTTTCTTGGGCATTTGGAGGAGACTCCTTACTTCCCCAATTTAAATCTGCTAAAGAAGCTTTTAAAATTATTGTTTCCAAAACTTTCCAAGGAACTGTGTTAGGGTACGACTACAGTACACCCTAACACAGCCAGCTTGATTCTCTTGTCTCTTTTATCACTGCATTACGGTTACGTGACCACATGAAGACTCCAGGTTCTTTAGGCACCAGTGTCCACACTGGCCTTTCAATCTCATGTGATTCGATTCATACCCACAGTCCTCCTTCCCTTGATACTGTCCTCCTGCTGATCACCAACTCTCCTTTTATGGCCTTCCATCAAGCCGCTGGGATTGCTTAAAGGGTTGCATGATGGTAGGGGGGGAAAGGCAGTTTTCCAAAGTTCTCCATACATGTATAAACATATATAAATATCATGGAAACACTGCAGTCTTCTGGATTTTGATGGAGTTGTTTAGATTTTATATTGCCTTTTATCTTTTTCCCTCGTCTGTACAGCATTATCTAGCACTAAACTAATGTAGCCATGCAGTCATAAGCTGATCTAATGCTAGACTCAATTGCTTGTTTAAAAACAAATTGAAAATATACTTTGGGGTGACTAAGGAAGATGATCACAGGTTGATGTTTCCACTGTCCCAAAACACCAACTCCCAACCTATTACATCACCATAAAACCGCCCGTGTCCATACCTCTCAGGCCTTTTGTAGAACAAAACAAACAATCACAGAGGCAAAACACTGTTCAAATGCTTGCAGTTAGAGAAAAGTAGAAACCCTCAGTAGCAGAGAGAAAAGTCCAGACTGGAAAGAAAAAGGACAGGCGGATTTACATTGACCTTTATGTCTTGTGATAATTGAGAAGCACTTTGAATTCATTCATGCCAATCCCAAAGCAAACTGAGAAATTTTTTTCCCAATGTAAAGGCACACTTAGTCTTTTGAAACAAGGAAAAAGAAGAAAAGCAACAACTACTAAACTGCAAACAATTTTTTACAGCTTTGGTGGCAATGACTGGCAAGATGTGTTTGTGCTACATTGCATACTGAACTAATTTTTTAGAAGTAATTTTTCACATTTTAAACTTGTGATCAATTATACTAAAAATGTCCCTTAACTCTTGGGTGATTGAGGAAT